CCTCCCTGAGGAATTCACACTGTTGTGGCTGGAGGACTTTGGGAACTTGGGTTTTTGTCTGGGGAGATTCTTGCTAGAGATTGTAGCTAATAAACATAGCTGGACTGAATTTGCATGGTCTCTTGGAGTTCCTTGGGCTAGGCCTGACAGCTAGCTATCTGCCTGGGATCCTTTAATTTGGATTCCTGAACTAAGCAGAGGTTTGGATTCAATGACCTGAATTGCTGCTTCTAACAACTTGGCTGAACACCAAGACTGATAATATAGCAGTTCCATATGTGAGACTCAACAAGGTAAACAGAGAGAGAAGACTGCAACAGGAAGCAGAAGAGATGGCTGAAACAGGCTGCTGAAGGAAAAACAGAAAACATCAGAAAAGAGAGTAAACACATGGTTTATCATGTACCTATTTGATGGAAGGATTGGGGATATCTCACAAAGAATGTGTTTCTCAGCACAGTATCCTTACAGAAATAGATATCTATACATTAAAATAATGCTTTCTAACTTTTAATCTCTGAATTATGTGTCATTCAATCCTAATCATATTTACTCCGAAACAATCCCATTGATTAAAGGGACTTATTCCCACAGTAGGACACACAGGACTGCAGATCCAGAATCATGCAGGGAAAGTAGAATACCACTGGCTGGGACACTGAAACCATAACATCTGTCATGTTACCATTCCTGTTCACTAAGGAGATGAATGAACAGCACAAAGATGACAGAATAATTCAGAGAGAAATAAATATTCTTGGAGAACACATGATTATCGAAAGAATAAAGATACTGCAACAGTCAATAAATTACAGAGCAGTTGCAGGTCAAACTCAGGATTATGTCCATTAGTTCAAACAATAGAGAAAGAAGTTAAAAAAATAAATAAAATACTATGCTGAATAATCCTCCCTTTTAAAAAGAACTTAGTTTCCTTATACAGCAAGCTCCTGGGGATAGAATAAAACAGAGATGAAAAGTCCCAACATCACAGAAAGGTCTGACACTATTCTAACTGTACCAGAGTGGTTCCAAGCATAAGAACAACCATGTTTCACGCTCTTCTGAACATCTGCTTCAGACCCAGAACTCAGAGTTGATACAGCCCATTTCAAACTCAAAACATTTATTTCCAATTTTTAATGTACTCTACACTGCTATCATTACCATGATTAAAAGCCACTCAAGGACCACTCAAGGGATAGAAAAGAAGAAGAAAGTTAAGTCAATCCATAGCATGTAGTGTCACTAGAAGACATGCAGAAAATATTCAGCCAAAATTAGCATTTTGATCTTCAAGTACAATAGCTGCAGGCCTATAAATATGCTTATCTCAAAGTATGCCAAGGATAATTCAATGCTTCTGAATAAGCATGAATATGGTATTTCTATAAAATATAGAAATCACTTTCTGGATTATGAATTTGGTGATCCAGCAAAATTTAGACCAATACAAGCAACAAGTTTATGAAGAGGAACAATCTTAAGAAGAAAAATATTTACCCATTTTTTATATTTTAGTGGCCCTGTAAAACCCATTGCTTCTATTATCTTTGTGAAAGTGCCTACTTTCTCTTCAGATGGCTGAGCAGAACCTCTAAAAACCTAGAACAAAAGGAAAAAGGTAAGTTATAAAATTCACATTTTGATTCATAAATGTCTAAACAGTTAAAGTTATATTCAGCTCTAAATGCCAGATTTGGATTGGCAGCAATTTTCCTATTTTTTTTCTTCCAATGACTTTTTTGCAAAAATGAAGCAAAAAGATACTTTCCACCTATACATTGAATCCAATGCATGTAGACCACAGAGAAGAATCAACAACAATCTGTCCTATCTGTTTTAGATTGCACATATATGCCCCTACTGCACTGTGAGTGTGCAAGTTGAATCCCAATTTGCTGTGAAATAAGCTGAAACTGATACAAATAAATGGCATCTGCCATTCTTCATTCCACACTCCATACAGCAGACATTTTGCTTTTGATGTATGACTTAACATATTCTTGTAATTGGGATTCTTTGGGAAAAAGTGGAGGGGTACCAATCCTTTTGGCCACATCTGTAGCTGAATATAGAAGCAATGTATCACCTTTCTGTTCTCCACCAATAGCTATATATCATTTGAAATCCCACATAGAATAAAGGAGACACTGTCTATTCTTAATCTCACAAAATGCATCTCTAAATACTTCTAAAGTATTCTAAGTTATCTGGATCCTACTTTGTCATTATACGAATGAAAGAATTTATTGGGAAAAGTATGTGGCTTATAAAAGTCCTCCACAACTCCAATAGCACTTCTGCTGTTACTGCTGGGAAAGCAGAGAATTCATATTTACTTTCTAGGTTTTGCAGACTACCCCAATCTGGAGAATTGGAATGGTATCAAACAAATTAAAAAATCAAGTAACATTGAGAAAAAAGAACCTCCCCCAAAAGAATGCCACAAAGCATTAAGGTTAATGGAAAAATAAAGTGGATTTGACCTCCTTAAGAAAGGCTGGGAGAAAGGCTGCTGTACAAACCTCTGAAGATAGAGAGTTCCAAAGCATGGGGGCCACAACCAAAAAGGCCTGCTGTCTGGTCCACTCTAACCTTGCATGGGGAGAACTCTCAGAAGGCCCTCTTGAAATGTTCTTACTAGATACCTGCCACTGGCTACAATGGTAGCGTAATTGCCTAGGACAGCTGTTGTTTTAACTAGTTACAATAAATACACATGAAGACCTGCAGTTCTGTCTATAGCTCTTGCTGCTTTCATCAAAATGATCAAAAGAGAGTCTTTTTTTATAATGAAGCTCCATCCCTTTTGGGCATGTGCGTGACATCACAACACATATAACAAGTGGCACGGCTTGTGTCACAAAACTATTTGCATCATTCTGATCCCCACTACCCCTCTGCAGAGGCCCCTGGAGACCCCTGTCCCTGTCTATACTGCTTTTCAGTGTTAAGGTAGTGCCTCTGTCTCTAGTATGAGCAAAGCACTACTCAACAAGAATCAGGGATATTGCATGAACAGCCCTTACATTACAGTTTCCTTATGAAGATCCAACAAAATGGGAAACACTTTGAAAATCATTAAGCTACAATGGTGGCCTCTAAAATTAGGCGCACATCTCCTACACAAATCCAGAAATCTCCAAATCCAATAAGACCACAGCCTTTGCCCAATATATCTGAACAGGATAGTGGTAATTTAAAACTTCACTTTGTCCTTACCTTTGTCTGATGAAATGTTCTGTTTGGTTGTTTGATGTTCCTGATGCTTTGTATTAAACCACAGCAAACTTTGGTTAACTGTAACTGGCCACTGTTGTGTCTCTGATAAGACAACAAAAAGAAAAGCATGTCTATAAAAAATAGTGTGGAAGAGAAACATGGTAAGCTTAAGAGGTAACATAAGCCTGAAAGTTACAGACTGGAGTCAACCCACAGAAGTTGAGATAAGAAAGGCCTCTGTAGTCTTCAACTCTATGCAAATGAGCTCATTACAGATTTGTTCACAAATGAAAAAAATGACAAATATACATTGAAAGAAAAAAAAACCCTCTGTCTTGTCAAAGCACTGTAGGCTCACATAAACATTACCTTTTCATGTTACCCAAAATTTTGTTATCTCTACCTCCAATTCACTATAATTCTCAATTTTTTATCCAAGACCCTCCTACTCCTACATTTCATTTTCCTAATTCCCATTAATCTATCCTTTCCTAACCAATGTAGCATGCATTTTTTCAGGTTTGGTGTGATACTGTCACAAGGTTCAATTCTTTAGCTTATAGTGAAGAACAATGTTCTGCATAGCACAGCAGATAAAACTGCTCTTCACGAATGATAAAGGCCTGATCAGGCTCAAATTATTCAGCAGACTAAAGCCACAGAAAACACCTCTTTCAATGTTCCCACAAAATTCCCTAACAACACAGTACACTTTGATAAAGTTCTTTCTTGCAGCTATACCTGTAATAAGTTGAGCTTTAGGGATCAGTTGGGACTGCTGCTGTTGTACCAGCCCCCCTGCTGCACAGCAACTTCCCTGCCTGAGCTCCTTGATGCCATTTCTGGGTTGGCAGTAGAGTTCCCCAGGCTTATGGTCTTGGGGGACTTCAATCTGCCTTCTCTAGGGTTGGGGTCTGAGGCGGCTCGGGAGTTTATGGCCACCGTGATGGCTATGGGCCTATCCCAAATCATCCAGAGCCCAACACAGGACAGCAGTCATGCACCAGATCTGGTGTTCCTGTCGGAGCAGTGGCTATGTGATCTGAAATCATGTCTTGTCATGTTCAGATCACACCCTGATTACAATGGGATTCTCTAGCGCCACTATCTATTGCAGGGAGACCGGACCCATTAGATTGGTTCACCCCCGGTGACTAATGGACCCAGATGGGTTCCAGAGGGAGCTGGGGTTTGTTCCTGGTGGTCTGCTGCACAGTCCATCCGAAGCCTTGGTTGCTGCTTGGAATAAAGGGGTGGCTGAGGCTTTGGATCAGATCACGCCCATGCAACCTCTCTCCTCTTGGGGATCCCGGCACTCTCCGTGGTTTACCGAAGACTAAGGGAGAAGAAGCGAAAGAAGAGATGTCTAGAGCATCGCTGGCGCTCGACAAGGGACGAACTCAACTGAACACGGGTTAGAACTGCTATTCATGCCTACTTAGTGGCGATAAGGGCGGTGAAGCGTCACTCCTCCTCTCATTGTGTCTGCAGATAGCCACCCCACAGCCCTGCTTCAGGTGACACGAGCCCTCCTGGGTCAGGATGGCTCAGAGAACCTTCTGCAGGGATGTGCGGAGGAATTTTCCCTGCATCTATTGGATAGAATCACTCGGATTCATTCTCAGCTGGATATTGGCTTTGCTGCAGGTCCGGTGGAGATGCCTAGGGAGGAGCCTTGCCCTGTTCTGGGAACAGTTTAAATCTGTTGGATCTGAGAAAGTAGACAGGGTCCTTGGGGCTGTGAGCTCAGCCACTTGCTCTTTAGATCCATGCCCCTCCTGGCTGATTAAAGCGGCCCGGGGAATGTTGTGTGAGGGGGTTCTAGCGATGGTTAATGTGTCTTTGAGAGGGGGTTCTTCCCTTGCCTCTTAAGGAGGCTTTGGTTCGCCCCCTCCACAAGAGGCCATCGCTAGACCCCACTATACTGGACAATTTTCGTCCAATATCTAACCTCCCCTTTTTGGGGAAGGTGACTGAGAAGGTGGTTGCACAACAGAGGACCTTGAAGCGGAATCCCTTTCAGTTGGGATTCAGGCCTGGGTATGGGACAGAAACAGCATTGGTCACACTTATGATCTCTGGCAAGGGCGGGATGGGGGTTGTGCATCCATCCTTGCCCTACTTGACCTCTCTGTGGCTTTCAATACCATTGACCATGGTGTCCTTCTGGATCGGCTCAGAGAATTGGGGGTGGGCAGCACTATGTTGTGCTGGTTCACCTCCTTCCTCCGGGGCCAATTCCAGTTGGTGGTGGTTGGGGAGGAGAGATCCTGCGCTTGGCCCCTCTTATGTGGAGTGCTGCAGGGTTTGGTGCTCTCCCCCCTCCTATTTAACATCTACATGAGGCTGCTGGGTGAGCTCATCCATCACCATGGGGTGAGGTATCATCAGTATGCTGATGATACCCAATTATACATCTCTGCCTCTGGTGAATTAAGCGATGCTGTAGATGTCTTATCCCGGTGTCTGGAGGCTGTGAGGGTCTGGATAGGGAACAACAGGCTTCAACTGAACCCTGGCAAGACTGAGTGGCTTTGGGTTTTGGGGCCTTCTGGTGCTAGGGCTATGCCATCTTTGGTATGGAATGGGGTCACACTGCCCCAGACAGACCTGTGCACAATTTGGGGTTCCTCCTGGACTCACGACTCCTGCTCAAAAAGCAGGTGACAGTTGTGTCTAGGAGGGCCTTTGCAGAGCTTCATGTTGTGCGCATTCCTAGATTAGAGGGACCTGTTCACTGTCACTCATGGCCTAGTTACCTCCCGTCTGGATTTCTGTAATGTGCTCTACATGGGGCTGCCCTTGAAGAGTACCCAGAAGCTTCAGCTGATGCAAAATGCAGCGGCATGGGCAGTTATGTGTGCCCACAGGGTGGGCCCCTAGGGCAGTATATGTTACACCTCTGCTCCGCGAGTTGCATTGGTTGCCAGTTTGCTTCCAGGTCCAATTCAAGGTGCTGGTTTTGATCTTTAAAGCCCTTCATGGCATGGAGCCAGGTAACCTGAGGGACCACCTCTCCCCAATTACATCTGCCTGTCCCATCAAGTATGGCAGAGAAGGCATGCTGCAGGTCCCATCTGCCAGGAAATTACATTTGGCGGGTCCCAGGAGGCCTTCTCTGCCATGGCGCCCACCTTGTGGAATCTACTCCCCCTAGAAGTGAGATTAGCTCCATCCCTCTTAACATTCCACAAGTCCCTCAAGACCTAGCTATGTGATCAGGCCTAGGTGTCCCAGGGGACTGGGGAGATTTTGCGATGGCTCCCTTATCAGTATTGTCCCCTCCTGTTCTATGTGCTTTTATAGTTTATTACTTGTAATTGTTTTTGTGTATTTATTGTTTTTAATTATTGTACACCACCCAGAGTTACTTTATGTGAGATGGGCGGCTATATAAATATGATAAATCAATAAAGAAATGTTATCGAGCAAGTTCCATGGAGCATTCTGTCCCATTATGGTTGAGCTCCTACCTGGAGAGAACCATGGAGCAACCTGCCCCACTGCTGTTGAGCTAATGTTGTTTGTATCAGTCCACTGCATAATGCAATCCAATGAGGTTCTCTAGTGCGGTGTATCTAGAAGAAAAAAATGAAAGGGAATGTATACCAGTGGTCACTCATTTGGAACAGAATTTAAATTCAACATAATATATGTTTTAGTTCCATGTTTCCATAATTCAGTACAGAATAAATGTACTGGTTTTCTGAAGATTTTGAATATTTCAACCGTATGAATTCTTAAGATATTCAATTGCAGTTCAAAGTGACAAATTATTACTCAGATTTGTATTCCATTAACTTTTCAGTGTATGTTTAACGTTGTTAAGTTGGGGGGTTTTTTGGCATGCATTCATCTCATGAATCTCAGAAAAAACATTTAATCTTTTTAATGGAATAGCATGCAATGATACATGAAAATAATTATATATTCTTTTCTGCACTAATATATCTATTTACATTAACTACACATAGACATGCACCCTATTGTAGTTGTGATACATGTCTAAGTCATCCTGCCACCAAATTATACTCTAAAAAGGAACACTCATTTTAAGACAATAGTAATTTCATAAAGATTATAAATTATTCAATAGGTTATCAGCTGTGAATAACACCAGCTAGATCAAGAAGGTTTCTAGTTGCTATTGTAGAAATACCACTGTACTCAGCTATAAACTGTATTCTATAATGTATTATCTTTTATAATGCAATAAAACAATTAACTTTGGGGGAAAAGCCTATTAGATTCTGAGAAAACTAAAATGAAATAAGATACTAGCATAATTAAAAATGCTGCATAGCCATTAATAGTGATAATCAAAGCATGCAAAAAAATTCCCACAAGATATAGCTTCCATAAAATAGCATCATTAAGGATTCAGTATCAATTACAACCAGCTAGAGCTTGAACCAAAATATCTCATAATATAAAGCTAAACATGAAGGTTGTAATTGCAGTGATAATAAGATAGTCACATACTGAATACAGAAAGACCCACTTCCATTAACTGCAGTATTAGGGAAAGTATAAAGGAGCATTGGACACAACAGATATTAACTGAGGCAATTATAACTGGATCTAGGTGATTTAGTTTAGTAAAATTATTCTCTGCCTCTAGACTGTGTGTGTGCACATCATACTCACTAATATATATTTATATCACACATTAACTAGTGTGGCATAATATGGACAACCTGCCTTGCCAAAGGTAAATGAAGATAAATGTTAGTATTTCTTCTAGCCCTTTAATGATCATGGCTGCTATAAGAAGGTCCAAGGAAGCATATGAGCTGCTACTATTGAGCAACTAGCAGGCACAAGGGAGAACCAACATAAAAGTGGTTAGAGGAATACAGACATGAAAATAGTGGGAGTGCCAAATGAGTGCAGAATTAACCATCTCCATTGATATTTCAAAACAAAAATGATCAATGTTCATCAGTATGATAGAGATATAGAATTAAATGTTTTAATTTTTATGACAATTACTGTTCAACTCAGTAGTTCTGCGTTATGTTTGAAACACTACCCAAGGTGTGGGAATGGATTAGTTTAGCCTCAACCTCATACAGGTTATGAACTCTTCTTCCTCCTCCTCCCCAGCAAAAGTTATTTCACAGCGACAGGACTCCCACGGCGACCCCACAGTTCTGAGAAATCAGGGGAACGTACTTAGGCCGGCAGCCCCCTTCTTTCCTCCGACTCGCAGCTTTCCAACCATGAAACCGATCCTACGGCGTGGGGTTGCAATTCATACACCCGGTTCGCTCTTGACCGAGCAACAAGGATGACCGACCTACCCCAAGCAACCCCTTGGGAAGCCTCTAAACAGCGGACCGTCCGTCCCTCAGGAGCAGCGGCCCGGCTACTTTTATGAAAGAAGCTCCCAAAGACAGGTCATGCACGCGACTCACCACGACTCTCACCAGCGCCGCCATCTCCCTCCCGGGACAGGCTTCCGTTTCCGCGGAACGTTCAAGTTCTTCCGTTTCTCCGCCGCTGCCGGGAATTGCAGGAAGGCGCGTTCTGGCCGCCGTGGATAATGGCACGAGCGAGCCGCGTCTCCACGGAGATGGTTCTAGAATGGCTTCCTTCGCCCGAGGGGAGCTGGCCTGCCAACCGCCGCATTATCCTCAGCCGTCTGGAGACCATTACGGCGAGGAAGACCGTGCTCCTTTCATCCCCCCGTGGTCGCGGTTTCTTATCCGTGGCGCGCTGGAGAAGCGTGCCGATGCTTGGGGATGTAAATCGTGCCGCCACTCGTGATCGTGGGGACTCTGGAAGAGAGAGCTCTTATAGCGAAAAAAAGAGAAATGGGGAAAGGGGAGAGGGTTTTTTTCTTGTCGCCATCTGCTGTTCTGGCTTGAAGCAGAGGAGGCAAAAAGGCTCCTAAAAGAATATGCAGAATACCTATTTTCGTTAATGAGCCTGACACCAAATAATTCTTCCCTGGCCGTAATAAGGCAAGGCCTAGCAGCAGTTAGATAGATGGGTCATTATATAGACTGGTCCTGGTTTGGTGGCCGTGAGAGCATTGTGATCCACGATGGGTACTTGGTGAGGCATTGTCCTCCCACCATCTCCTCTGTCTCTGAGGCTACTATAAAAGGCCAAGGAGTAAATGCAGTGAAGAAAAGTGGGGAAATTCTAAATGGAATCAAGGGTTATTTGGAAGATCGCTAGAAGAAGCACACCTGCTGCTGATGTAAAGATTCTAAAAGACCAATGTAGAAGAAATGGCTGCATCACATGTTACTGTTTGTGTTACATGTCAGGAGCTCCCTGAGCCCAATCATCATCATGGGCTAGAACTTCTGGGAGTTACATTCTAGCACACGTGGAAGATGTCAGGCTGGGAAAACTGCTGCATACATTCCTGCTACTCAGGAATAACTTTTTATTTAATGGGGCTTACTTTCAAATGAGTGTCCCTATAGAACTGTTTTGTTTTGTTTTTTTATCTGTGCTCAGTCGTTACCGACTCTGCAGTGACTGCTTGGACGAGTCCTTGCAGTTTTCCAGGCAA